AATATATATATATATATATATATATATATATATATACACATGTATACTGTTATGTTTAATTATTTACTTTATTAATATGGTTGCTTTTCAGCATTTGAGATAACTTGACTGTAAAGTCATAGAATTTGTAATGAAACCACAATTTGATAGAGCAAGGTATCTTGAAATTTTCAATTTACTTGCAATCAGATTTACTATTTACAGGTAAATGTATTAGATCTTAAAAAAACTAAAATTATCACTATGATACCCTGGATTTTATTATTTCTTTTCAAAATAGAGAACTATTCTGTCTTCAAGAACCTTAAAAAAGCATACTTTAAATTCAAATTCTGATTAACTTCTTATACTGAAATAATAAATGCTAGTAGTAGATATGTGTGATCATGAAGTATTTTTACTTTTGTCTTTTATTGAAACTTTTTATTATATGCTTAGAATAGTAACTTACAAATATACATACAGTGTAAGCCTTCTTCAATTCTGACTTATGAAATCAGATTTCCACCGCAAATATTGTTTTTGTAATTTTAAACTTTATATTTATTACCTGATCATGTACAATGGGAACTTTTCAAAATATCTTTAAAAAATGTAGAATTTACTTTCCTCTAATGCTGGAATTTTGTTATGACTACTATTAGGAATTTTTGTTGTTATACATTGCAGTATACTTTGAAAAGAGGTATTATGATCACTTTTGATATCATGGATCATGTATGTTATTGTGGTACTATCAGTTTCTAATTGTTAAGCATATATATATGTATACCTCAAAAAGCTCTTCTTTTTTTCATTTTGACTGTACCTTGCCAAGTATCACAACAAAATATCCAGTGCATATTATGGATAAGGTTTGTTTGTTCTTAAAGTTAGGTAGATTCTTTTCTTTCTGTAATGTTACTTTCATTAATACTAATGGTTTTGGTTTGAATGTTTAATATATATAGTTTTATTATTCTTGACTTTATTATTATTATACTTTTATTATAGACTGTTTTGCATTGTTAGCTTAATATGTGGATTTGGGACTAACCTAAATCTCATAAGCTGGCCACACTTTGAGATTCTGTTGGGTTTATGGGCAAAAGTGTTGTTAACAGCAATAGTAGCCAGCTTATAAAACAAAGCATTCTAATCTTTATAAGTAAGAACTTAAGGAAAGTATATTTGATTAGCTATACTAATTTCCAGGTTGATGTTTAGTTTTGACCTA